TTGGTGTGATGTTTCGGATGATCTTCCCTTCATGTGCATGTGCTTTCCATTTAGTTCTAGCATCTCTTTGTCTTGTTCATACTTGGTGTGATGTTCCGGGTGATCTTCCCTTCATGTGCATGTGCTTTTTCGTTAGTCTAGCCACTCATTGTCATGTTCATACTTAATGTGATATTTCGGTTGATTTTGCCTTCATGTGCATGTGCTTTCTATAAGTTCTAGCCACTCCTTGTCGTGTTCCTACTTGGTATGATGTTCCGGTTGATCTTCCCTTCATGTGCATGTGTTTTTTCATTAGTCTAGCCACTCATTGTCATGTTCGTACTTCGTGTGATGTTCCGGATGATCTTCCCTTCATGTGCATGTGCTTTCCTTTAGTCCTAGCCACTCGTTGTCATGTTCGTACTTAATGAGATGTTCCAGTTAATCTTCCCTTCATGTGCATGTGCTTTTCCATTAGTACTAGCCACTCATTGTCATGTTCGTACTTAATGAGGTGTTCCGTCCTTACTTAGTTGATCTCTCCTCTATGTGCATGTGTTTCCATTTAGTTCTAGCTTCTCTTTGTCATGTTCATATTTGTTGTGATGTTCCGGATCTTACCTAGATGATCTCTCCTTTATGAGCATGTGTTTTTCACTAGCTCTAACTTCTCATTGTCAAGTTCATGTTTGATGTGATGTTCCGGATCTTACTTAGTTGATCTCTTCTCAATGTGCGTGAGCTTTCCTTTAGTTCTAGCTTCTCATTGTCAAGTTCATGTTTGATGTGATGTTCCGGATCTTACTTAGTTGATCTCTTCTCAATGTGCGTGAGATTTCCTCTAGTTCTAGCATCTCATTGCCAAAGTTCATGTTTGATGTGATGTTCCGGATCTTACTTAGTTGATCTCTCCTCTATGTGCGTTGTGCTTCCCTCTAGTTCTAGCTTCTCCTTGTCNTTCATGTTTGATGTGATGTTCCGGATCTTACTTAGTTGATCTCTCCTCTATGTGCGTTGTGCTTCCCTCTAGTTCTAGCTTCTCCTTGTCATGTTGATATGTGTTGTGATGTTCCGGATCTTACCTAAATGATCTCTATGTGCATGTGCTTTTTACTAGCTCTAGCTTCTCATTGTCAAAGTTAATGTTTTATGTGATGTTCTGGATCTTACTTAGTTGATTTCTCCTCTATGTGCGTTGTGCTTCCCTCTAGTTCTAGCTTCTCCTTGTCATGTTCATATGTGTTGTGATGTTCCGGATCTTACCTAGATGATCTCTCCTTTATGTGCATGTGCTTTCCACTAGCTCTAGCTTCTCATTGTCAAGTTCATGTTTTGGTTGATCTCTTCTCTATGTGCATGTGCTTTCCACTAGTTCTAGTTCCTCATTGTCAAGCTCATATGTGTTGTGATGTTCCGGTTCCTTCTTAGTTGATCTTTTCTCCTATGTGCATGCGCTTATCACTAGTTTTAGCTTATCATTGTGAGCTCATATGTGCTGAAGTGTTCCGGTCGTACTTAGTCGCTTCTTCTTACATATGGATGTATTCCCCAATCTCTCATTATCAAAATCATGTGTATTGTAGTACTCCAGTTCACGGGTGGTTGATCTTTCACTATGGGATGGGTGACCGACATTTGGCTGCTACTACGGGGTGAGGACTTGATTAGGACTAGATACCTACTCTCTCTCTCTCTCTCTTTTCCTCTCTTCTCTTTCTCTTTCCTTCTCTTCCTCTCTTTCTCCCTCTCTCTCTTTCCTCTCTCTCCCCCACGCCTTCTCCCCTTCTCTCTCCCTTCGCCTTGCCCCCTCTCTCCCTTCCCCTCACTTGGCATATGACTAACCACTCTCCCCTCACTTGTTACATTGCTAGGGTGCGAACAATAAAGAGAGATCAGACCTCACTTGGTGGAGAGAGAGGGCAAGGGAAGGGTAGCCGGTCCCTTGTGCCACCAAGAAGGCAAAGAAAAAGGGGGCGTTTGAAAAAAGTGGGGAAAGGACGAGATCCGGATAAAGCATAAGTTGAAAAAGAGGTCAGTTTGACTCAACCATTTCCCCGACTGCATGACTATGAGAAGAGAATGGGCTGATTGAGCAACAAGAGGGAACAAAGAGCAGCCAAATAATTCGAAAAGATAGGCATGTGGGAAGGGCTATGTGTTGATCCCCAACAGGGGATTGTATGGATCTTCTTGCTTGTGTGGGATTATGCAGGTAAGTGAGGGCTAGAAATGCCTTGAGCGGGATAGGGGCAAGAGGAACTGGGCACCAAGAGGGAAAGGGAAGAGGGACAAAGGGGCTATGAGACCCTTGACATAGATCCAACCCATGAAAATGACTTTTGCGCTTGAGCCTTGGAGTGTGAATGAGAGTGCAATCGTACCAAGGAAAACGTGATGTTGTGTGTGCATGCATAAGAGGACCCCGAAAAGACTAAGGGGCCTACTTCAATAAGGACGAAAACAAACTGTGAGACCCAATGGATGCGTAGAGGCGAGGGAGAGGACGGCTCCGCCGCGCCCCGATGACGCCATATAGCCACAATGTTTAGGGAAATGGTGCGTGGCCTAAGGATGACGCTTAGCCTACGCACAAGAGAAGAGAAACGCTAAAAGAATCCTTGGACTGCCTACGCATTGGAAGAAGCAATTGCATGAGAACACAACAAAGAAGCAAAAAAAAATCATCGTTGCGGAACGACCAGCGAGACTACCACCCGGCGTGAGGGCTGAGCTACATCCCCAATGTCAAAGCTCTCTCGCGCGATGGCTCACCCCCATCCATCTCAAAGCACTAGGTGGGGGTGACCTCGGGACGAACAGCCCACGCCCTGAGCATAAATGTGGGCGGGCCGAGCCAACTGGGACCCGCAGTGAGGTCGACTAAGGCTCGAAAGTCTACCGGGGTTTGACCCTACACCCGGGTACTTCGGTGAACTTTCCTCTTGTGTAAATGCTCTCAATCTTGTCTTTTGGCTGAATTTGATGCTTGTGTATGTTGCGATTCATTCCGGGATACTTCAGTGAACTTTCCTAATGATAGATTGCTTTCAAACTCATCTTTTGGCTGTCCTTGATGCTTGTGTGTATTGCGGTTCATTCCGGGATACTTCGGAGAACTTTCCTCATGATGGATTGCTTCCAAATTCATCTTTTGGTTGTCCTTGATGCTTGTGTGTGTTGCGATTCATTCCGGGATACTTCGGTGAACTCTCCTCTAGCATAGATGTTTTCAAACTTGTGTTTTGGCGGATCTTGATGCTTTTGTGTGTGAGATCCACTCCGGAATTCTTCGGTGGACTCTCCTCTAGGTATATTACTTCAAACCTTGTCATTTGGCTGTAATTGGTATATGTGTGTGTGGCGAGGTGTTCCGTGATGTGCCGCTATGTTTTTCCCTAGTATAGAGTACTCAA